CGAAGTTCTTGGGAAGGCGTGGGCTCAACAGCAAAAGGTGTCTGTTCAGCAGTCGGCTTCAGCCTACAGACGTGCTGCTTGGGGCAAGGTAATTGTAGGTGCTTTTTAATTGCCGTGATTGCATTTTGATCACCAACCAAGTGCAGGTGTTCAGCCTATTATCTCTCAGTGGAGAAGCAGCTGGAGCAGTGCAAGCAGACCTGCAGTCGATCAGCAAAGGCACTATAAAAGAAAGGTATGGCACATTAGATTCACTGGATACATGTGGGTAGCTCCTTGTACTCTTACACCATGAAGGTTGTTGTTGCAGACTCAAATTGTTCAGCACCACATTTGAGGAGCTCATTGCGAAACATCGGCTTTGGGCTATTCCTGATGTGGAGCTTCGCACATCAGCCCAGCTTCTTGTTGGAGAACTGGTTGTCCCAGCTTATCGGTCGTTCCTCTTCCATGCGAGGTCTGTGTTCTGGATCCTGTCCTTTGTTTTAAGGAAGCTGTCTAAGCTCCTGGTCATTCAATTTTCATTGAATACTATTGTTACCTGGTCATGCGTGCAGGTCCAAAATGGACCAACAAGGTCGTAACTTTCCTGGTTCCAAGGACCCTCTGGTCAAGCATAAGAAGTACAGCCTGGAAGAAGTAGAGAGCATGATTGGTGAACTTTTTCAAGGGCACTCTGAGCACCTTGCAGGCACTTGATATTGGAAAAAAGGTTCTAGTACGATATAACCTGTTTGAAGGCGTTCCAAGGTGAGGGTGAGTTCATACATACAACCAAAGAAGTGTTCAGGCTGGACCACCTCAATGGACAGCTATAACTGTGACAGCTCCTTCATGCGCTTCATGCTCTATGTAGTGGCATGTTCTAATGTAGGTGGATATATTATGATGATGAAAGTAACACCAGGGTTGTACAATATTTCCTTCCCTAATATGATTTCAGGACGTTGCTCGTGAGCACCCATTAGCTCTCGTGATGTTCACCATTCGGCTCTCTCGTCACATTCGTACTTCCACGTGTGCCGCTGCGCTTTACTTACTCGCCATGGATCCAGATCCTACAGTCTCCGTGTCACGAGGATTCCCCTCGTTGGCATGCGGATCAGCAGGTGCGTGGGACACGTCGTGCATCGATGAGTTTGGACGTATGTCAGGGCTGAGTCATAATCTCCCCGTGCAACTCTCGATGCCTGTTTCCCCCACTGACCCATCTTATTCAAGTCACCGTAGGGTGTTGTAAAGAACGAGAGCGACGCTCTCCGGCGTTGGATCATCCGCAGTAGTGTTCTCACGAGTTTCATCCAAGCGATGGAGTTACTACCTTCCTGACCCTAAAGAAAGGGCTACGTGTCACTTGACACGCAGATTTTCAGGCGACACTCTCTTCCTTTTGCTACGAATGGTTGCACGCGCGTCCGGTATTTCGCGAACCTAATGCGGTCAGTTGCCACATGCAGCCGCCGTCCGCTGGACTCGATGGCCCCGTGCGTTGTACGGATTCCCATCCACTCGCACTTCAATCAACCGCGTGCAATGCCGCCTCTCGCTCCATTCTCCACCCCCAGCCTGCTGATTCTTTCTGCCCTGCCAGCAGGCTGGTTGAGCTCCTGTGCGACCATTGCTCTGTTGGAAAGCATGCTGATAGCAGGGACATAGTTCTTAACCAGAGCGTATATATTTGAGTCTCATTACAGTACCGTAAGACAGAAGAGACCACCTTTTCTGACTGCGATGGACGAGAGGGTAGGAAGCGCGATTGCGGTTTGTGGAGCTCTGTAGATTTCTGTCACCAAGGAAAGTCCGCATGGAGCACGGAGATGCTAGTGCGATCTACAAACAACATCTTCATCCAGTTCGGATAGCGGATTTTCAACAAGCTTCACGACTCATGGTGGTGGGAGAAGGCGGCTCTCTGTCCGTAAACGGTTTGGGAGCGCCCAAGCGGAAGTGTGCGAGTCGGAAACGGAAAAGATCGCACGGAGATACATTTCCGAGCGAGAGGGAGGTCAAGGCGGCTGCTGCTTGCGGTGATGATGAGTCTCCTGCTGCTCTTCTGGCTGCGGCTAAAATTCTCGCTCGACCGTCATCCGTTTTTGCAGGTGTGTAATGATCAAACCTCGGGCGGTTTTGCTCATCTTTCCTGCTCTGTCTCATCTTTCAGGCCATCATAGGTGCTAATCGCGTCTGTACTGGTCTGTCTGTGGATCACTGTGCACGGATCTGCCTATCTTTTGTTGGTTGCCTTGTCAAATATGGGTTTCTTTTCATGCCGTTTACCTGACAATACCCACTGCAGACGCGCCTCAGGCTATCACCATTGAAGAACGCCTTCGTCAGGCCCTGGCACATGTGCCTCCGTCCTTGTCCCTTCTCCACTCTCCGAATTCCGTGACAGCTGCGCCTCTCGCCTCCTTATCCCAACTCCCTGGGCCCAGTATGACTACCTTGAATTCCGCCCCCCTTATGGCTTTGGAAAATAGCTATGCGGACCTTCTTAAGGGGATCCCTCCTTTGCAACCGTCCAGCAGTATCGATCTTCTTGCTGGGAATCTTCCTATGCAATCTTCCAGCAATATGGACCTTCTCACCAGGAGTTTTCCCTTGCTTTTATCTAGCCCTGTGGGGTCAGTGAATTCCTTGAACCCACCCATCCATGTGACGCCGACACTGTTCAGCTGCATGGACCCAGCACTCACCTGGTTTTTCCTTGCAGACGACCTCCAGAAGCTACAGGCAGCGGCGAGCAAGCTTCAAGTGCCGACCACGTATGAGTGCAAGGAGTGTGGGAGGATGTTCACCCAGCCTGAGGCGTTGGGAGGACACATGTCCAGACATAGACGAGGTATGCTGGCCGCTTTTTTGCATGAAACCCACAGCAAGCATAATCTATTAGCCTTCGTTAGTTGTTCCAATTGTATTTGATTTTTCCCTTTTGAAGTTTCTCATGTTATAATCGTTGACCCAAATATGCAGAGGAAAGGCAGAAGATAAGGCGCACGAAAAAGGTGGAAGCAGATGCTCGGAAGGTGGCAGAAAGCTTATGTCAGCTGCTGAATTCATCAACCTCCTGTGTGAGCTCTGGCATGGCTGAATGTCCTGCTGATGCTCTTGAGCAAAAAGAGCAGAGGAGCAACATCCCAGCAATATATGTACTGGATGAGCAGCAATGGGAGCCATCTCTTCAGGCAGTCGTTTCATCTCAACAGGAGCTGCTGCTCTATGAGCAGTTACTCCACCATCGGCTCTCCATGCTGCCAGATAGCGTGCTGGTGCCTCCTGCATCACACCTGGTGGACCAGGTTGTGGAACAAGATGTACCTGCCAGCCGTTCTGCAGCAGTTCAAGAGAATGGCATATGCGAAGCCCTCCCACCAGGTGGGATCTCTGGGTTTGTTGGAAGGAAGAGGGGGGAGGATGAGTCCATGGAAGGGATGAGAGGGGCATTTTGGAATGTCCATGAGGGATTTCGGTCTTCAACTGATCAGCAACAGGGTGCAAGTGCTAGTGATAGTATAAAGCATGCCAGCTCAAGTGGTTCGCACGAGCTGGACATTGATTTGAATCTGATTCCTGCGAGCGATGCAGATGCGTGACGTGCGCTTGTTGTATATAAGATGACATAATTCTTTCGTTGCTTGTTTGATTAGAAAAGGTGCTGAACAGTATGCCCTTTTCTACTAGTGTTGCAGCAAACAGCATTACTCCAGTAGCAATATTGAGTCAGCGTCTCTTAGTAGATTTCATTTTTTTTTGCAAGGTCAATAAACGAGTCATCTGCTTCCTCAATGTGAGTACCTCTAACGCGTATTGAAAAACACCATCCTCGTGCGATGTGAGCCGACGCATGCAAATGACGTCAGCACAACAGACCCTATCCTTCCCTGCATGTCTCCCATGATTCGTCCAACCAGACAAACTTTCACATCATAACCCAAACTCCAAGAGCATTTGGTTGAATTGAATGCTTTCTGCTGTGTGCATGATGTTGTCATGACACCGTTTCTCTCACAAAGCAGGAGCCTGGATCTGCCTGGTTGTGTGCAACTCCTGCTAGCAAGTAGCTTCAACGCTCGCCCCTCCTTCGAGTTTCTGGACATAATCGGAGGGTTTCACGTCACCTCCCTATTGTCACACCTCCCCGAGTGCTCTACTGCTGAACCTAAGTAACGCCAGGGGCCTCAGAAGCTCCCCTAGGGCCCTGCTGACAGCTGTGCTGACCAGACATGTCTTCCAAGAATTCGTCTGCAAGAACATATCTCGTCACTGGGTCGCAGCGCATTGACCTTGCATGGACGACGCACATCACGCCGGGGCCTCACCATGTCGCTCTCGCTGCAAGCTTACTCAAGAAAACGTCGTTTCGCTGCTGCTCGGGCCAAGCAAACGATCTTGTTCCTCCGCGTGATTTGTCGCGGTCGAGAAAATGAGCAGACCGACATGCAAATCGCGTCGACGTGTCTCAAATTCCTTGAGCGAGTCGGAGATTTCACCCCCGACCTTCACCCTATCACGTGATGATGATGACGTTCCGGAGTAGATTCGGCACGCCTCATCGAAGATTCGCAACGTCACTCGGCCTCCAAATCATGGGCGAATCGCTTCCGAGCGTGCTTTTATGCCGACAGAAGAGAAATCGGTCAGGCTTACAGCGACAGCATTGCGAACAGAACTGCAAGCATCCGAGGCACCTGTTGCAGGTTGCTCTTGTAGGGCTCAAGGAAAACCCCTTCTGCCTGATCCCCTCTACACCACCAGCTGATTGTTACAAGGGACTTCACGAACCCAGACGCTTTGTTTGGTTGGCAGTCAGCCAGGAAATCCTCGCTCGGAAAATGGCTTGAATTGGAATCAGTGGCCAGTCCTAGTTGCTTCTTAACGGATAGCAGCACTTTCTGACACGCACACAAGCTTCCGAACTGCCAGTTAAGAATTGCAGCAAGCGAATTGTAGTGTTTCAGTGCATTTTGATGTCTGACCCTTCGTCACCTTACAGAGGACCAATGGAGAGAACATCAGTCGCACCGGCTGGGTCCTCTGCGCCGGCCGAATCGTCGTTTGCTGTGATTGGCTCGTCTGCCTCAGCAGGTACAAGCGAATTCGCCAGCTCTGGAGCCTTGGAACATTCCGAAACCGTACCTGCCTTGACTCTTCCCTCGTCTGGTTTCGATTGGACCTTTGGAGAGACTCCCTTTGGCGCCATAACTGAGTCGTTACCAGAACATTCGTCTGTACCACACTCGTTGTCCCCGCTATCAGCACTCCCGCCTACGGCAGTAGCGTCAATCCCCACCTTGGAGTGTTCTGCAGGAAGCGCTACAGCTGGAGGTCTCAGCAACACCGGTAGACGGCGTGCTCGAATAGATTCACAGCTACAGCCCTGTGGTGTGGATGACTTGCTCCAGACAGAGGACAAGGCGGAGGCAGGAGAGGAAGGCGGAGGAGGGGGATGGGCGTGGATCTTCCAGGAGGGGGAAGGTGAAAGAGAGGCGACAGTCAACGGCAACGCGTCGGACTTCAAGAGAGGCTCTGCGCAGAGTGGCCAGGAGGGGAGGGATACGGGAAGGGGTACGGAGAGGGGTACGGGGAGGAGCAGGGGGAGGGGAAGGGGGAGGAGTGGCAGCCGCAGGAAGCATCCGCGGGTGTTTCCGAGCGAGGTGGAGCTGAAGCAGGCTGCTGCTGACACGGGGGAAGGCGGAGGGGTAGGAGGAGGAGCAGGGGGAGGAGGAGGAGGAGGCAGTATGGGGGGAGTGAGGGGGGGCGGTCAAGAGCAAGAGAGGCTGTTACGCATGCAACAGCAGTCAGGATCGCCTGCGGTGCAGTGGTTACCACAGCAGCAGCTACAGCAGTATCAGCTGCAGCAGAAGCAGCAGCAGCAGCAGCAGCAGCAGCAGCAGCAGCAGCAGCAGCAGCAGCAGCAGCAGCAGCAGCAGCAGCAGCAGCAGCAGCAGCAGCAGCAGCAGCAGCAGCAGCAGCAGCAGCAGCAACAGCAGTATCAGCTGCAGCAGCAGCAGCAGCAGCAACAGCAGTATCGGCAGCAGCAGCAGCAGCAACAGCAGTATCAGCAGCAGCAGCAGCTACAGCAACAGCAGGAGCAGCAACAGCTGCAGAGGTATGAGCAGCAGCAACAGCAGTACAAGCAGCAGCAACAGCAGAATCAGCAGCAGCAGCACCAGGAAGAGGAATTGCAGCAATTGCAGCTGAAACAGTATCAGCAGCAGCAGCTGATGCAGCAGCAGCACCATCAACAACAGCAGCTGCTGCAGCAGGAGGAGCAGCAGCAGCAGCTGCAGGAGAAGCAGCAGGAGCAGCAGCTGGTGATGCAGCAGAAGCAGAAGCACTGCCGATTCTGTGGCAAGGGATTTGATTCCCCTCGGGCGCTGGGAGGTCACATGAACATGCACAGGCGAGGTGAGGCGGGCTGAAGCGCGGTGAGGCATGATAGTGCGAACTTCAAAAAAATGGCTCTGCCTTTTGGATTTTTTTTGTCGCGCTCCGCGCTGATTGTTTTTTTTTCGCATCATTGTGCTTACACTTGGTTTGCGTTACATGTTTGTTGTCCCTTTTCTTTTATCAGAAAAACAATATGAGGATCGGCTTGTGCTGCAGGCAGGCGAGAGGGCAGTGGCGGAGATGCGATCGCAGCAGCAGCAACAGCAGCAGCAGGCTCGGGTGGAGTGCTTGCAGCAATTGCAGCAGGCGCGTCAGCAGCAGCAACAGCAACAGCAACAGCAGCAGAAACAGCAACAGCAGCAGAAACAGCAACAGCAACAGAAACAGCAGCAGCAACAGCAGCAGCAGCAGCAGCAGCAGCAGCAACTGCAACAGCAGCAACAAGAGAAACAAAGGCAACAGCAGCAACAACTGTAGCCGCAGCAGCAGCAACTTCAGCAGCAACAGCAACCTGGCCGTGTGGCATCAACAAGAGTGCTGCCAGCTCCACCAGCGGCGCTAACGCTACCAGCAACACCAGCCGCGTTAACGCTACCAGCAACACCAGCGGGGTTCACACTACCAGCAACACCAGCGGGGTTCACAATGCCAGCACTGCACGCAACACCAGCGGCAACAGCTACATCAGCAGCACGAGCACTCCTCCCACCACAGCCACCAGCTGAGCTGCTGTTTCCACAACACCGCACTCTCCCTCATGCCTTAGGATTCTCAACGGAGACGGGCAGCAGAGCAGCAGCCGGATTGCCTCCTCCTGCATTTCCGAGGATGCCTCTGATGGAATCAGCTTGTGTGCCTCTTCCTCTGTCTCCACTGTTCACACAGCAAAGACCCCCGGAGCTCCCAGATCTTAGATTCCATGAACAGGTGCCACCGTCTGTGTCATCTCTGCCCCACACACCCTTGCAGCACACGCCATCAGCCCGAACGCGGCTACCACAACAATCCAGCAACGTTTCAGCATCCCTGCCCTTCAACTCCGGAAACCCCTTTCTCACTTCCATGACACCTGAATTTCTAGAGTCTCTCTTCCTCCAGACTCATGCTCCGGGAACATTTGTTCCCGCCACTACAGCCCCCCCAGTCCCCACAGGCTCCGCAGCTGCTACAGCTGCTACAGCCCCTCCTTCTGCACCTGTGGTTGGCACTGCTTCTTCATCCTTGCCTCAATTTCCCCGTTACATCCCACCGTCTGAACCCCAAGTTCCTTCTTCTCGCCCTCCTGCCGTGCTGCCTCCTCTGTCTCCTCTGTTTCAGCCTCCTCTGTCTCACCCCCCTCTGTCCCAACCCCCCATTCCACAGCCCCCTCTGTCTTACCCTCCTCTGCCTCACCCTCCTCTGCTTCAGCCCCCTGTCTGGCAGTCTCCTATATCTCAGCCTCTATCCGGGGGGGCTCCCATGTGGCAGGATTTTCAGCCTCATGGCTCGCAGTCTCGTGCTTTCCAGCCTCATGGTTTTCGGTTTCGTGGTTCCCAGCCTCATGCTCTCAAGTTGCGTGATCCGAGGGTTTCTCAGCCACAGTCATGGCTGCAACCGCGTGGGCTGGAGCAGGGGCAGGGAGCGTGGGAGCAGCAGCAGAAGCAACTGCAACAACAGCAGCTACTGCAGCAGCAGCAGCAATTGCAGCAACAGCAACAGCTGCAACAGCAGCAGCAGCAGCAGTTGTTTAGTCAGTTGTTTTCACTGCCAGGTGTTACACTTCCTGCGATGCAGACACCTTCTCAGGTTGCATCATCTGGTGCTTTGGATATCCGCGGTGCATTTCCTACTCCACCTGCGTCCCTTGCTCCAGCTCCTGCAGGAGTGCCCCCGCCAGCAGCAGCATTGCCACTAGGAGCAGCGAGGGCCAAAAGCTTAACCGAACTGAAGGAGTTGTGCGATGGTGTTGACTTGAAGCATTCTAACGAGGGGGGGAGTTGGAGTGACACGGATGTGTATAGATTTAAGAGGCTCTCTATTTGCTAGAATATCTCAGTGGAATGGGTAGCGTCTATAAAAAACCGAGGTACCACACCTTAGCAGTCCCAACTTCTTTATCTGTGCTATTTCTATCGAGGTTTAAAAGACTTTTCCTGGGTGTACATTATCTGTACTACGCGTCAATATTCAATCAATAATACAACGCGTTGGTGAGTGGAAGCTTCATTGCTTGCAAGCATCCTCGTGAGCACTATGCTCTCCTAGCCTAGATGGACACGTGTGAGCCAGCATGTCGTTTTGACAGCATTAAATAATTCGTCGCACACAAAAGGGCGGTTCGAGAAGCTCGGCTCACATGGAAGGAGGCGCTCTGCTGTCACGTGAGAACGATTATCTTCTTTGGGATGGTTTTGGCGACGTTAGCCACGCGATGCAGCATTCATTCCAGGGTGGAAAGATCATGGCTGCACGAGCACGGGAAGTATTTGTGACCCGGAAAAAGGAGGATAATAAAATCTCCATGGTACGGGTAATTTCGGCGCGCTCTGATCGTGAAAAGCTGGTCAGATGGAGGTGCTGGAACATTTGCAGCGCGTAAAGCCGGGTTGGCACTTAAACTGATGGGCGGCTTTGTGCATTCGTTTCTTCTGAAGTCAGCACAGAATCTTCTCGACTTTTCGGGAAGCGTGAAGCTCACGTTCTTGGTGGACATATCGGCGTGCCTGCTTCGGTCGAAGATCTACTTCGGATTGAGGGCGATTGGTCCGTCAGATCGAGTCCCCGCACTGACGTGCAACCCGTTTTTCCGTTAACATTTCGTTTCTCCCCTCTTTCAGCGTCTGTGACCCTCACCACTACAAGGGGCAGCGGAGCGACTAAGATTTGGCCGCATAACGAGCAGAACGAGCGCCTTATCACGTTTCAGCGACTCGCATTCTCGCTGGACTAGCCACTACTAGCTGTTGGTAGCCCATCCCCTGCCATGGATCAGAGATCAAACGACTCTGCAGACGATCCCACGCGTCTCTTCGCGACCGGGCGTTTCGACCCGCGGAATAGCGGCGGCCACAGCAGCCTCGGCGAAACACACGGCGTGCCTTTTTTGCCCTACGGCAGAGCCGATTGGGTTGCAGCACTGTCGCACCTCCGAGTGGGCTATGAAATGGCGTCGTCTTTTCCGAGTGGCATCGGCAGCACCAACCCCAGCGATGGCAGCACATTTGTTGAGTCAACGCCAGCTATAGGCTTTCACGGACGCGGAAGCGGAAGCGGGCTCGAAAGCGCTGGTAGCGGGAGCAGAAAGCGGAAGGTCTGCTGGGCTTCGATTCCAAGCGAGATGCATGCGACGGGAGCAGCGGCTTCTGGTAGGGAATGATGACCAGAAAGTCTTATTCTGTGTGTATAGTCGTGTGCTCTTGAGACGCGTGCTTTGGGTCTGTGATCTTGCAGTTTGGTGACTTACGCTTCGAGTCTTTCTCCCCACTGTGCAGGATCGGACATTCCAGCAAGACCCCTGCACTTTCATATCGATCCAGCAGCTCTGCTGCCTACTTCCCTGCTGCAAGCCCCGGTACAAGCTCCACTGGAAGCCCCGGTACAAGCTCCACTACAAGCTCCACTACAAGCTCCGCTCCAAGCATTTCTCCCTGCACCAGCCGCTTCTGCTCAATCCCTTCCTCAATTTCTCAACCCTTTGCCTTCAATCCTTCCCTTGGCTCCAAACACTCTTTCAGCACCTCAAGCCCTCTTCCCCTCTGCTCAATCTTTCAACTCCTGTCCACAATCTCTCATTCCCTCTACGCAATTTCTTAACCCCTGTTCTCAATCCCTTATTCCTTCCACTCAACCGCTCAGCTCCTGTCCACAATCTCTCTTCCCCTTTATTCAGTCTCTCAACCCTTGTCCTCAACCTTTCAACTCTGACCTGCACGGAAATCCGCTTGGCACCCATGTGAGTGCATCTGTGCCAGCTGTTTGTACTAACATGCTGAATCTGCAACCTCCTAACGAACTTGCTGCGGGTGCTGCTGACTCTTCCAGATTGCATAGGCTGCATCAGCTGATCACCAATTTGTCATCGGCAGGAGCTCCTATTCAGCAGCTTCCCAATTTCCTGCAGCTGCAACAAGATATGCAGCTGCAGATGCAGCAACCGATGCAGCAGCAGAGGCAACAAGAGATGCAGCAACAGATGCACCAAGAGACGCAGCAACAGATGCACCAAGAGACGCAGCAACAGATGCACCAAGAGACGCAGCAACAGATGCACCAAGAGACGCAGCAACAGATGCACCAAGAGACGCAGCAACAGATGCACCAAGAGACGCAGCAACAGATGCACCAAGAGACGCAGCAACAGATGCACCAAGAGACGCAGCAACAGATGCATCAGCAGGTGCAGCAGCAGGTGCATCAAGGCGTGCAGGAACAGATGCACCAAGAGACTCATTTACAGGAACAGCAACAGTTGCAGCAACAGATGCAGCAACAGACGCAGCAACAGACACAGCAACAGACGCAGCAGCAACAGACGCAGCAGCAGCAGACGCACCAGCAGCAGGCGCAGCAGCAGATGCAGCAGCAGATGCAGCAGCAGATGCAGCAGCAGATGCAGCAACAGATGGAGCAACAGACGGAGGAGCAGATGCAGCAACAGACGCAGCAGCAGAGACAGCAGCAGACGCAGCAACAGACGCAGCAACAGACACAGCAGCAGATGCAGCAACAGACGCAGCAGCAGACGCAGCAGCAGACGCAGCAGCAGACACAGCAACAGACACAGCAGCAGATGCAGCAACAGCTGCAGCAGCAGGTTTATCAAGGCATGCAGCAACAGACGCAGCATCAGATCCAGCATCAAATACGATCGCGTCTGCTGGCACTGCAGGCGCGTGCGAGCCAGCTGAGGGCTCAGATTCCGCGTCCGGAGGAGCCTGCACAGCAGGATTCTATAATTCCAGCCCGGCCAGCTGGAATCGGTAGCTTGGCGCCCCTACTGCCACCTGTTTACACGTGCACAGACTGCGGGAAATCGTTCGGATCGAGGCAGGCTTATGGTGGCCACGTTACAAAGCACCGACGGGGTAAGCACTCTAATAGCCGTCTATGGTGTTATTGGGTCCTACCTAAAAGATCCAGATTTAGGGACTGACATTTTGCTTACAGACCTGATTTATATCAGAAACGTCTAACTGGCCAATGTTTATTCTGGGTGCAGAAGCAAGAATGAAGATCGCAGAAATGGCGGGACATGAAAGGCAACACAACGCCACACCGCTACCTGCACAAGCCACGTGTGGTCCTCTCCTGTCAGCGGAAGCAGTTGAAGCGGCTACGGTAGTGGAGGCAGGGAAAGCTGGTGGTGAGAGTCACCTCCCTTGCTGCCCACAAGCTCTCTCCTTGCTGCCAGGGTTTACCGGATTGCTGCAGCAGTCTGGCCTTCTGGGCCCGATCCCCCTCCACCCGAGCTATCCCCCTTTTCAGAATTATGCTCCTCATGAATTCCAAGCACAACAGGTAGCGTGCAACGTGGAAGCTGGAGTGGCAGAGCCAAACCTTATCCGCTCTGAGCAACCCATCCTCAACTCTCTGCTGCCTAGGCCTGACTCGGAGCCACTGCAGGTTTTTTCAGTGCCATCCAGGACCAGTGTCGACCCATCATCCCCTTTTGATGTGAAGCCATCTCAGGCCGACACAGTTCCACACCGGGCTGACTCCGAGCCACCCGGTGCTCATCTGAAACTTGCCAGACCTGCTTTGGAACCTTCCAGGTCCGATCGTCAATGGTTGAGCTGCGCAAATCAGGGTGAGCGGAGGGTTCGCCGGAAGCAGGCCGTGGAAGATGACGTGCCTCCCATGGGGGGGATTGGTGGGTTCGTTGGGGTGAAACGGCTGCCACGCAAGCTAGTGGGTAGGAAGTTGGAGAAGACAAGTGAGAGACCATGGATGTCTGTTGTCGATCCTGGACATGGGCTGGGGCTGATTGCCGGGAACCATTTGTGTGACGCAAGGCAGGTGCATTTAGACTTGAATGAGATTCCAAGGGGATCACAGGGCCTTTAAACATGGAATGCATGTACGGTAATTGTTGTACTATACGCAGCGCAGGGCAAGTTTATCTTTATACCGTATACTCCCGGACAAAACACCCCCCCATAATTGTACACCCCCGGGTAGCTTGTGCGGGGTGGGTGTTATGGGGAGCCTCGTTTCTACTATACCCCCCTTTTTTGCAGATTTTCTATAACACCCCCCTTTTCTTACGAATTTGCTATAATAGTCGTTAACGAGTAGCTGCAATATTGAAGGAATATCGCGAAAATTTCTCCCTAGATGAAATTTCGCGGCACATTCACTTACAATCTACCGAGATTTCCCCCCTCGCACTACTTCGCTGTGACCACGTGCAGGCGAATCTTCCGCTGCAAGTGGCAAGAGAGGTGCCACATGGCATTTTTGTGAAGAATTAAACAGGAATGAGAAGAAGAGCAGCGGAATGATTGCACTAGCAAGCAGTTGAGTACATATAGCAAACCCTAGATTGGGCTGTACTCACTATTGAGTACCCCACTGCAGGCTAGACAAAACATAACATTCTGACACACCCCCATAGCCAAAGTGGGGTGTAATCAGCACAACAAGCAAGCAAGAACAAGCTCAGGGTGGATCACAATGTCACCACACATTCTGAGCACAAGTACAAGCAGCAGCAGTTTATAGTTCACAAATGTAAGCAAAGCTAGAGGCAGTCACAGACGGTAAGTGAGGAGGAGGGATTGTGAGAGGAGAAGAGATAGGAGACGACAGGTGAAGCTGCAGACACACGGGCAACAGGAGCGGCGCGCACTGTGGCTACCGGAGATTGTAGCCTCCGGACTACTGGAGTAACTGGCTCCGCGACTAACTCTGAGCTGC